GGGTTGTTCTCCTTCACGAACACCGTGTACTCGGCCTGCGCGAACACCGGCGCGTTGTCGTTCACGTCGGCCACCTCCACGGACACGGTGGCCGTGGTCCACAGCGAGGGCGAGCCCCCGTCCCTGGAGGTCACCACCACCTCGTAGCCAGAAGAGCTCTCCCGGTCCAAGGCGCTGTCCAGCACCAGGGAATAATAGTTCTTGAAGGTGGATATCAGCTTGAAGGGCACATCAGGCATGAGGGAGCAGGTCACCTGTCCGTTGACACCAGAGTCGCGGTCGAAAACGCTGATCAAAGTAATGACTGTGTCCAACTGCGTGTCTTCAGAGACAGGGAGAGACAGGGAAGTGACAGTCAACTGTGGAGCGTTGTCGTTAACATCCACAACTTCCACAAGAACGGTACAGTGACCAGCCTGGGGCAAAGAGCCTTTATCAACTGCCTCTACTTGAATTTTGTAGGTTTTACTTTCTTCAAAATCAATCAGTCCTATCACCGTAATTTCCCCACTCACGGCGTCTATGTGGAACTTGGATTTTATGTCTGGAGAAACATCACTGGAGAATGCGTAAATAATCTCTCCGTTCACGCCCTCGTCCGCATCGGAGGCGTTGGCGTTTATTACCAGCGTCCCAATAGAAACATCCTCCGGCAATTTCACCGTATAAAGCGTCCGGTGGAAAACTGGGGCATTGTCGTTGGCATCCAGCACCGTGATGATTACCTGAACGGAGCCGGTCAGCTCGGGTTTGCCTCCATCGGTGGCGGTGAGCAACAAATATAGCTCGGGAGCTTCCTCCCTGTCTAAAGGTTTCCGTAAGACAAGCCCAAGAGGCTTTACCTGTTCGTGGCGGGGTGGTATGTCCAGTGAGAAATACTCATTGGGGCTCAGTCTGTAAGTGAGCAGGGCATTGGCTCCGACGTCTGCATCCGATGCGCCCTCTAGTGGAAAGCGAGAGTCAAGCGGCCTGGATTCCGCAATAAACAAATTCTTTTGTGTGGCGGGGAACACAGGCGGGTTGTCGTTAATGTCCTTCACCTCCACCTCCACGTGGAAAACCTGCAGCGGTCTGTCCACGATCACCTCCAGGTGGATGCTGCACTCCGCGCTCCGCCCGCACAGCTCCTCCCGGTCGACCCGAGAATTCACAAACAAAATGCCATTCTGCAGATTTACCTCCAGAAGGTCCCCGCGCTCCTTGGACGCCACCCGGAACAGGCGCGGCACCAGCTCCGCCAGCTCCAGCCCCAGGTCCTGCGCGATGCGGCCCACGAAGGTGCCGTGTTTGGCCTCCTCGGGGACCGAGTAATGGAGCTGGCCGCTTCCGGACTCCCAGGCTGCTAGAATTACCATGAACAGGAGTAGCTGTCGGCTCTCCGGGTAGCATCTACTCAGGTACACCATTTCAACCTACTTCCCTTTTATTCTCATCTGCAAAACTTGTCCGAAAATTTGGAGAAATCTTCCTATCCCCTCATTTTAATCCTGATATGCTAGCCATTGTTCAGCCTCGGAAGAGTGCAAGTATGGACTGTCTTTCCGGTGGGAAAACCAATTACTGCTTTGTGAATGTGAGATCATTTTGTGGAAAAGAGCGACATCATGTGGCCCAGGCAGTAAGTAGAAATTTAAAAATTATAGTAATATGATGAAATTTATCTCAAAATATATTTTCTTTGTTGTTTTAAAATGTAAAATAACATTTTTGTTTATCTTGGAGGCATTCTTATGCGATTAATAGCTTTGAATATTGTGGCCTTTTCAAGCCTTAGTAAAAAATCTTCCAACACAGATTTTAAATAAAGATAAACTTTAGAGACATAACATCAATCATTTCAACACCCCTAACTTAAAGGAAGTTTGTTCCATACTTCAGGAAACTCCATATTCTTGATTCAGTATCGCCTGTTAAAACTTTTGGGCAATCTAGGTATCCACCGTCTTAAGAATTTATCAATGGAAAATTACAAAACTTTGGCTTTCTTTTTCAAGGAGGCAAGAAATGCATACAGTTATTCTTTTCTTAATGAAAAAAATATGGGAGGTTTGGGGTCTCTTTGAAGGAAATAATTTGTACCAAAGTAACTTCTGAGGAACAGGAATTCTGAACCTATCCACTTAACAGAATTTATACTTTCTATTGTTTTCTGTTCATGATTCCCATGTTTGTTTCCTCTTTCCTTCATTTCAAAACATTGCATAATAATGCATGCATGTTTTTATAATCTGTACTATGAATTAGGTTATTTCTTTCATTGTATAAACTTGTTTTATTAGCTAAATCTGGTGCTCATCCATCATAGTATAGCAAATCATTAATTAGATACTGAGATATTTTATTCTTTTTGGATCTACGTAGCAGTTACTTTTTAAAATGTTTTATCTCAATGTTGGAAACTCAAGTTAAAGCAATTATTCTTGTGTTCTAATGCTTTCCAAGTTTGTTATCTGCCTAAATGAGTTTTTATGAATGATGCTCTCCTTGACTAGTGCAGAAGTTTCTCATAATGACACCGTTTTCATCCCAATCTCATTTATCCATCCCTTAATTTGTATCATCATCTTCCTGAAATGCTATATAATTATTGCCTCATGCTTTCTGCTACTTTTTAAATGCCTTCTAAGTAGAATCAAATTTCGAAAGTCTAGCACTTGAAGTTACTCAAGAGATTTTTTCATTTTACATTTCTTGCCTTATCTCATACTCCTATGAAAACCATAATAAAGAAGATCATTCCATGTTTCCAAATACATAGAATTATTGTACATTTACTTCTTAAAAGTAATCTCTTCCCAAGAATAGAATCTCAATAGTTTCCCAAGGATATGTCTCCATTTAAAAACCACTAAATAAGAAAAAAAACACTAAATTAATTATTTTGAAAAGTTTCTTCCAACTGGGGAAATACAGATTTCCATTTCATTGCAATCACCCAATAATATACCTTTTTGGTATCTCTTAAACTATTCTGCCTTATATTATGGCATGTTTATGTATGACACATCAGAATTTTTCCATGAGATTTTTGAAGCCAGTGATCACAGTTTGATTCAATAGCTCTTGGCAGGCACCGTATTATAGGGACCTCACTAACCTAAAACTTTTTTTTTTTTTAGAAAGGGAGGGTCTCACTAAATTACTAAACTGCTCAGACTGGATTCAAACATATGATCCTCCTGCCTGTGTTTCCAAACTGTTGGGATTTTAGGCATGTTCTACCATGCATGGCAAACTTTTTAAAAGTATTTTTACAAATAAAGATTGCTATGGTTCCTATCTACTTCCTAAGGAAGCCAGGTGTTTAAAAAGTGATAGATACTATTATCTATAAAAATATTCTTTATTTACAGGTATGATCAGAGCTGATTTTGTCACTATTAAGTATGTAGGAAAGGTTTGAGGGATTGTTTCTTATTTAAATTTTTGTACAATAGTATATATTTATTCATTCTATGAAATCTTTAAAAAAAACAGAAAATGCTATTGATAATTTCTGCCATTTCAAGAATGAAAAGTGAATGTGAACATGCACCCCAACTCAGTTCTCTAATAGACCTGGAGCAACTTTTTTAAATGTGGGAAAACATCCCATTCAATTTGTGTGTGTGTGTGTGTGTGTGTGTGTGTGTGTGTGTGTGTGCGCGCGCACCAGGGATCAAACGTAGAACCTTGCACTTTTGGGGCTGGGGATTTAGCTCAGCGGTTTGGTGGCATGCCTTGCAAGCACAAGGACCCGAGTTCGATCCCCGGTACCAAAAATAAAAGAACCTTGCACTTTTGAGGCAGGTGGCAGCATCACTGAGTTAAATCCCCAGCCCCCCCATTCAGTCTTAATGTGGTTAATATTTCCTGAGAAATGTAGACTTCAGAAGATTAGAACTATATTCAGGCAATCACTGTGGGCTCCAAAGCCCAAATGTCCTTTGAATCCAAAAGCTTTTCTAATACCAAAGTCTTGGCTCCATTTTTAATTTTGAACAATAATCTTAAATTTTTAAGTGTAATATATGGCACTCGAACTACAAGAGGTATCTCAGAAAAGTGTGGTAATTATTGCTTCCCTATGAATCATAAAGCAAATATCATTGCATAAAGTAAAACTGACATGGAAATCATAATGACAGATTCCTGACAAAAAAGTATTTATTTTATCTTTAGGATAATAACAGCTAAATTTGATTAAGCACTTACTATTTGACAAACACTGTTATAATCCCTATGTATGAATTAACTAAATCTTTAAAATTTCTTCTATGATAGCTATAACTGTTTATTACTCAAATGTAGGTGGAAAACTGAGAACCAAAAGAATAAATTCTGACCAATGTTGCATAAAATTAAAATTGTAAGGGTAAAATTCAGACAAAACAGGATATCATAAAAACTATATCATATCACTAGTCATTGGTGTATTTCATGTAAAGAAACAGTGAATAGGTTAAATAATTACAATGGTGAAAGAATTAATATAAAAAATAAGTTTATATTCCATGAAAAGTGTCCTACCAAATGACATTCAAACATGAATAAAAGACTTGTGATGCACAGGAATGCAGAATTTATATGAATTGACTCGATCAAACTGATATTTCTGAAGTATTTTTCCAGTACTTTTATCACTAATTAACTGGATAATAATAATGAATGGAATGAAGTTATTAAAGATTATGAAATCTTATTCACACCTTTATATCCATTAGAAGTACTCAGTCTGACAATTATGGTTCATTTCTTATCTCTAATTGCTTTCAAAGGAAAACTACAAAAGAAATTGACTCTTGGAATCACAGTAGCCAAAGGGAGTAATCTACAGTCTGACATAGGATAGAGTTCTTATACAATACGCAGAAATTATTAGTTTTAAAAGTAATCAGCAGAAAAATCGCTAAATGGAAAGGATTAAGAGGGTCACTGTGTGGTAGAGTGTTTACCTAGCACGAGGGAGGCCCTGGGTTCCATTCCTACCACCACAATGCAGGAAAGGAACGTGTAAAGCAAGGCGTAAGCAATAGAGTGATGTTGAAAGCTCAGAGTTATCAAAAATAATATTTTAAATGCTCCTAAAATGCAAATGCAAAAAACTAAAATTTCTAGGAAGTTAATCGGGAAAATATTTGACATCAATTCAAGAAAATACAACACAAATGTAATATCATTAACTTTAGAATTGCAATATATTAGGGAAATATAGAATGTAGAGAGTAATGTCTCATTCAACTTTCAACTAAGAATCACAAACCAGGGCCAGGAATTTAGCTCAGTGGTCCAGCCAACTGCCTTGCAATCACAAGGATCCGAGTTCAATCCCTGATACCAAAAAAAAAAAAAAAAAAAGA